ATTTTTTTTAAGTTGCAAGTCCTTGTCTTTAACATGTTGCAAATGTTCAAGTTCAGAAGTGAAACTTTTCATGTATGTCCTCTTACCAGAATCCAGCTTTCTTTTGTCTTCATCTGTAATTTCCTCATTTTGTCTTATTTCTTTAACTACAGTATTAATGCCTTTTCAAACTCTGCCTACAAGGTACCACCCCCTTCTACTTCACCTTTGTCTGCCTCTCCTGGGAGAGTCCACCCAGAAAGGGGGAGAGTTCTTACTCATGTCTTTCAGCCCTGCATAGATGACCCCCCCCCCCAACCCTTGGAAGCAGAGCACACTGACCCAGATGCTGCCTCCATCCATTTGAGCCATGGAATTGAGTTTTGAATCCAGCCATCTACTAAAAAGCCACCATGCAACCTGAGTGGAACATCTTCCCAAGTCCTACCATTCCCTCAGATGCCTGTGAAAAAAAAACTGCAGAGGAAGGAATGAATCCTGGAGCCACTGGTCCCATGTGAAGCCTCAGAAGAAAACTAGGAAGACTATGGGAGGAGGGTAGAAACTCATTGTAAAGTTTGTATTGTAACAAGCCAGTTGAATGTATTTTATGAAGAAATGGCATTTGGGAATAGTTGGCACAGCAAGTACTGAACACCTTGGACTTCTATCTGGTGGGAGGGAAAAATTATCCAGAATGTTTGTATTGCCTGTTTTGTATTAGTAGCTGCACACACACATGCACACACCATTCATAATCACACTACTGAGTCTCTTCCACCTACCTTCAGTAAAGTTCCTCAGGATGATTTTTGCTTTATTGCACCAAAGCTTTGTATGCACAACTTCCTGAAAATTCCAAGGGGGAGGAAACCAGGCCCCCTCAGGTAATTTGCAATTCATATGCCCTGACTGAGGAAGTAGCAGGAAAGAGATCCCCAAACCTCAGCCTCTTGCACTGGTGAACTCAGATTGGGAGTCCTAGAGCTCATTATGTGCAATTTAAAGAAAAATTTGATAGCTGGCTTGCATACTGGCTAACCTCAATTGGACATTACAAACCTGGATGCACTGAACTAAGAGCTAAGGCAGGAGACAACCCTTGAAAATGGGCAACCAGTGGTTATGTACTGAGGCAAACCATGGCTGTGAAGAATTTTGGGAGGGATGTGCAAACCTGACTGGAACTCAAAGTGACATCCAACATTTGAAAATAATTCTCCAAGGCGCCTGAAGGCAGGACAAGAAGCAACAGATGGAAACTGATCAAGGAAAAAAGCAACTTAGAACTAAGGAGAAACTTCCTGACAGTTAGAACAATTAACCAATGGAACAACCTGCCTCCAGAAGCGGTGAATGCTCCAATATTGGATGTTTTTAAGAAGAGACTGAACAGCCATTTGTTCGAAATGGTGTAGGGTTCCTGCCTGAGCAGGGGGTTGGACTCGATGACCTCCAAGGTCCCTTCCAACTTTTTATTATTATTATTATTATTATTATTATTATTATTATTATAAATTTCTTTTCCACCTAACAAAATTTTTGCCCTGACTTTTAGAACTTAATGAGTTGGAAGCTCCCCTTTTGGGAGCCACTGCAGGGATCTTTTTCTGCTGCCTCCACTCGTGTCTTCTCTTTTTGGCTTAACAGTTTAAAGCTTGTTTACCAAGTCTCCCTGATCAGATCAATTTTAATCTTGTGCCAGTACTACCCATGTGCTCAGCCCTTCTTTTCTCTGGTCTTTCTTTCAAGACCATCTGTCTGGTTCTTCAATAAACTGCAACCTTCTTTCTAAAGTAGTCGCCATGTTGCTTATTTATCCCCGGCTTGGATGAACCAGGATGAAGACTTTACTTTCAACAACTGTATCATAGTTTTGCGACTTTGCTATTGATGCTGTTGGATTGTTTTATGGGTTAGAATAGGAGGAAGCTGCTCTGCAATTCTTGCTATAATTTTGAAAGTCATCTATCAATTAACACCTACCAAATGCAACCTTTTCCTTTTGCAGGAGAACCGTTGCTCATGAAAGCAGAAAGAAGAGGGAGAGAAAGGAGTGACTGCAACCTTTTAATGTAGGCTGCAGCTATTGTTGATCAGAGTGATGCTGACGGGAAGAAAATCAGAGACTTCCAAGCTGCCTCTTCCTATTTCTTTCCCCAACATCCCTCTTGCCAAGTCACTCTTTCTTTGTACTCTCAGCATAAAAGGAAAATGTATACTGAAAAAAGAATGAATACTGTGAGTGAGGAAGAGAAAAAAGGTTGGAAACAACCACAATGCATAAGGAGAAAGGCAATAGGAGGCAGATTGTGCTCAGGTCTCCCTCAATTTTTGACAATGCTATTGCCATTACAGAAAAGCATGAGAAACACAGTCCACTCCATAACTGCATGGCATTATGTTGGACACTCTCTCAAATTGGTCTATCCCTTCAGGAGAGCTTTTCTGGATCAGACCAATGCACAAGAGTGGAATCCAGCAGTGCTCAAGCAAATGTATCAGGAAAACTCAAAAGCATCAACAGAAGAGCAAAAGCATCCTTATTCCCTAGCAGGTGGAATTTAAGCTAGGCTGCTTGTAGTCCAAAGTAAAGATAAAGGTTTCCCTATCAGTCATGTTCAATTCTAGGGCACAGTGCTCATCTGGATTTCTTGGCCAAGGGAGCCAGCCTTGTCTGAAGACAATTTCTATGGCCAGCATGGCTATATGGCTGCGAAGAATGCTATTATCTTCTGTAGTGGTCCCTATTAATCTACCTGCATTTGCATGTTTTTGAACTGCTACATGGGAAGGAGCTGGGGCAAGTAAGCTCCTCAAACCTGGGCTATCAGCTCTCCAGCTGACCAGCTCAGCTTCTTTAATTGCAGAGCCATCATGCCCCTTTGTAATCCAAGACTGGTGGGTTTTTAACAGTCCAATCTTCCAGGAATTTGTCTAGTTCCTTGTGAAAACAGTTTCCATTCATCACCTCTGATGGCAGCACTTGCCACAGTTTAATTAGGTGTTGTGTAAAGAAGTACTTGATGGGCTTTGAATATTCTTGCTTTTCTTTTTAAATGATTAGCCTATATTTTCACAGGGTTGCGGAGGAAAAAAACAGTGACTTTTTCAGATTTTTAGGGAAGGGATGGCATAAAAGCTAAAATGAAATAATCAAAGTAATACAAAAGAGCCATTTTGTTTTAATTTATAAAGGATTTATCTTCCAAAGAAATGCAAGCTTCAGAGGAAATAGGTTTTTATATGAGCATAAAAAAGGCTGAAAGGGTTACTTTCTTTCACCCTGACTATACTGCTGTTGATACCATGCCCTTTGAATTTTTTTAAAAATCCATCTTAAAGCCTTTCTATCTTGAGCTACCATTGCTTGTTTAATTGTATTCACTTATTGTTAGAACTGTATTTTGGGAGAATCCAGAGCTGAGTGCTGACACTTTGCAATACTTCAAGCTTCTGTAAGTTTCAGTAACAGGTGATGTATCTTTTTAAACATACATTGTGAAATTTACACAGCAATTGTAGCAATTAGCTGAATTCATAGGAGAGGAGGTCTATAAAGTGGCCAGTTCCTATAATAGACTGAGTACCTTTATTGTTTTTCCAATAATGAAATAAAGTCGAGTATCACTGGTAGTTACAGATGAAGAATGCTCATTCTCTGTAGGTCCTTCCATTCATCTGCTTTGTTAAAAAAACGATGGTTCTATTTCCAATTCATGTAATGGTTATTGATTACGGGCCATCAAGTCACTGTCAATTATTAACAATCAGATTTTCTCTGGGAGGGTCTGTTCCTTAACAGGTCTTTTTAAGTCTTTGGTCCATGGTGGGCACAACATTGCTGTAACTGAGTCCATCTCCTCTGCTACTGCTTTTCCTCTCTCTGGCCTTTCATTCCACCTTTCCCAGATTAGAGCCTTTGCTGCAGAGCTGGATCTTCGCATAACGTCTCTGGAGTGGGATAACTTGAGCCTGACCATTTGTGCCCGGTGATAAATGGGGGTCCGATGATTTATGACTCCGTTCCTCTTGCCAGCAGCCCAAATGGACAGGCAGAAACTCGTCGACGTCAAGTACATTTGTTCTGATCTCTTCTGCGGATTCGGGTACGAGGCCGAGGCCGCTCAGCCGGCAGGCAGGGAAAAAAAAAAATACCGCGCATCTCTCAGAGGCTTAACGCACCCGCTTCCTCCACTCCAAAACAGCCGCGCTGCCGGCGGGCACGTGCAGCCCCGCTTTTCCAGCTCTCACGTGGCGGCGGCGGCGGCGGCGGCGGCGGCCCTGCCCCATTCGGGGTTGCGGGACCCTCCCTTTCGCGGCTCCTGACCCAAACAAGCAATCAAGTGCTTCTTCCGGAGCTTAAATCGCCGGGGCAGATAATCCTGAGCCAAGCTGTTCCCTCGCTCTAGTCTAAACCGAGGGGGAGGCGGACGTTGGAAGCCTGGCCGGAGAGTCGCGGCCCGCCAGCGGATCCCTCGGCTCACCCCCTCGGCTTCGTCAATGGCGAGCCCCACGAGGCAATCAATGGGAGGGAGCAGAAGATCAAGATCGGAGCCCGCTCAGCCCCGCGCCTCGGCTAAGAAGCTTACCTCGTGGCAGATGTTGACAGGCTCCCGGCCAGCTCCGATCACTTGGAGGGAGGAGGGGGAGGCCGAGAGCCGGAAAGCCCCCTTGCCTCGCTAGGAAGGAGGTGCAGCCAGGGGCCGTTCCCTTGGCGATTCGCACCCTGCCTTGACTTTTTCTCTCCCCACCCTCCCGCCCGCCTCGCAAGAGGATCTGCGTGCCAGCTGCTGGCTGGCACCGCTTCCCGGGCCGCCTTCCAGCCTGCAGGTGGGATCGGCCACTGACGAGTGGCCGGAGTTTCTTCCACGGGCGCTCCAGCTCTTCCTTCCTCTGCTGGTTTTCCTCTGTCTCCCGGTGGGCGGAAAGCCACTCCAGCATCGCTGCTCTTGCTTCCAATCTCTCTCGCCCTCCCCAATCACGCCCCCCTCCCCGCTCGGCTGTTTTCCACGCTCTTAGGCGGGGCGATGGCCAAGATCCGAGTGGCTTACGAATACACCGAAGCTGAAGACAAAACCATCCGGCTGGGCTTGTTCCTCATCGTTTCTGGTATCTTGTCACTTTTCATCTTGGGTTTCTGTTGGCTCAACCCGGCCCTGCAGGACTTACAAGGCAAGGCGGCGAACTGCACCGTGCTGTCGGTGCAACGGATCAGCGAGGTTTTCGAGTGCACGTTCACGTGTGGCGCCGACTGCAAGGGCACCTCCCTGTACCCCTGCCTCCAGATCTACGTCAACAACTCCGAATCCAACGCCCGGGCGCTCCTGCACCCGGACGAGCATCAGCTCCTCACCAACCCAAAGGTAAAAGCACCGGCCGGTCTCTGGGCATATGTCAGGGGATGCCACTTTATTTTTAGGGCAGCTCAGAACCGGGGTTAGGGAAGCAGGGCTGGAGAGAAAACGGGCGAAATTTCTGCTGAAAAGCTGATCTTGGGCAAAGGTCGGAATGAAAGACCTGGCGCTATTTGGGAGGCAGACAGCTCGGCCCGCCAAGGCATCTGAGGGTGCAGAAGCTGCCAGGGTGGTATCTATGGAGCCTGTATAGGCTGGACTATGCTAGCAGCGGGCTCAAGTGGAGGGTCCTGTAGTTCAGAGGAGCCAACTCCTGGCACTGAAGCCTCGAATTTCGGAACTCTGGCTAGAATAGGTGATGAACCACTTTTAGCTCTGTAGTGAAGGCTGAGCAGAGCCTGATCCAAAGGGGTTACTTTGGGATTATAACTGATAGTAACCAGGAATAAATACGACCTGTTACTATAAGCAGCTGGAATAGTGTTAATAGGCAAGGTCACTGCTTTTGACATCACAGAAAATCAATTCAAGTTAATAAAGTTCATTTGGGCACCAAGTGTCAGAACTTAACCTTCCTCCCTTGCCATTACCTTTCTTCCAGCCTTTGGATAAGCACTCCGGTTAGGAGAGGCAGCAAGCAAAGGGGAAGTAGAGGCTCTTTTTACTCTCCAAAGAAATCTTTGCTTCTCTTCTTATCCACTGTGCAGTCCCCCTTCTGACATCACTGGCATGATCTCGGGATCTGACACAAGGGTTTAGGTTGGAACATGACTTGTAGAGAGGAAAGCCAGTTTAAAAGATCTGGACTTATTCATTTCTCAAAGCAGAATGCAGAGGACAATGATGATAGAGAATCTGCAGCAGACTACAATGGCACTAACCCCATATATTATCCTATGTACTGTGGCTTGTTGCTACTTAAGGGGGAAAGTCCTTAAGTAGCAACAAGCTACTTCAATCCCTGGCAACATTAGAACTGAGACTTGCCTGCCTCAGATATGAGTTGCAGACACAACAAAGCTAACAAAACAAATTGTTGGGGCATATCTGTGAGGAGAAAGTGGAGAAAGTCTCTTAGATTAACTATTCTCCAAGAGAATCTGTTGCCTGCTGCCATTCTCCTCAGGCTATAATGCATGAAACAATCTAGAAATGAGAAACTGAAAGGTCTGTTCCTCATTACAAGAAGGAGGATGTCCCCTCAATCACAGGGTGATTGATCATAAAAGAGAAGAAACTATCCCATTCAAATATGATATGTTGCTTTGCCTAGAACTCAGGCATTCATAAAATGCTGCAATAAAAAATATAAATTTATTTACTTATACATATATTTACTCTAAATTAAGTAAAGAGAAAATAATAGGCTTTGTCCAAGGGTAGGTATCCTGTAACTGACAGCTTTTGATCTCATTCTGTCATCACTGCCAAGAATCATTAGCATAATTTTGAGGCAGGAATCCCATGAACTTTCCTAAAAGTGGATAGAAATGATTAATCACCATACACTCCTATTGGTAGAAGAAAGTACAGTATTTTGGCTTGCAAGAGATGCTTTAGTAAGCTATCCAATTTTGTACTGAACAAAATGAACATGTTTGGGTAAAACTGGGCTTTGGTTATCTTTTGTGATATACTACCTAAATGTGCCCAAGTTGATTGCTATTATTTTTACTGTTAATGGAGAATAAGGCAGGTCGCATGGGTATGACCAAGTCTACACCTTCTCTATTTTACTAAAAAGAATTTTGTGAAAGTATTGACTGTTCAAGACTGTGACTTGGAATTTAAAGGAGGAAATACTAAAAAGCATGAATATATGAATACAAGGAAAGAAAGGAAGACAGATATGTTGCCTGTAATTAAGATCAAGGGAAGGATACAATAGGTCTGAATGAAGGTGATTTAATTTTTTGGAATAGACTAGTAATGGTAAAGGTTTAGTTATAAATGAAAGGGCTGAATTATATGCTATAAAGTATGAATTGGTGTCATCTAGATTGTTGTCTAAATTCTTACCTTGGTTACAAATGCATGTTGTGCTTCAGGGAATGATATCAATAGAAGAAACAAATTAATTTTGGGAAACAGTCTGTAGTCAGGGAAAACCTTTTTTCTGGCAGGTGACATGAGAAGTACAAGACAGGAAAGTGCAGAAAAGAATGAATTGTGAGTATAATTTATTTGATTGTTTATGTTGTAAGATTAAGAGGATTAGTGAAGAGTATAGTGACGATGAGAGGGTTTGAATGGAGGACAGTGTATTATTTTGAAGTGTCAAGAGTGAATCTGGGAAAAAATGGACATCAAAGAAAAGGAAAGCAGAGAAAAGTACTAAAGAATGAGAACTAGGGATGCCTGCTGAGCATGATAATGGTAGCATATTATAAAGGTCCCACAGACATGGCTGAATTGGGTATTCTTATAATTATGACTAATAAAATAACTAAATAATACATGTGTGATAATAAATAGAATGCTTAGTGAATGGTGCCACACTAAGTAGGGAGTAAGATAGGGATGTGTGATTGGTAGTTTCATGTATTTTCAGAATCATGTATAGGAAATTATTGATAATTAGGAGTGTTTGTTAATAAGGCAAAAATGAAAATTTTTAGAGGTATAAATACTGGTGGAAAGATGGTGGATAGTCTTCAAGATGCTAAAATAAATTTTATTTTGATATCTTACATGGTTGCTCTTTTTTCAAGGACTTAATTTCTTCTTCCACTTCTGCTGGTACAACAGAATCATCTCAAGACCACATAACAAAATTCTACATAAAATCTACTTTCAGCCAAATATTTTTGTCTAAGAATTATGTTGTACTGGTAGTTTAAATCCAATTCACATGGACCATTTTACCTCTGATATTATTTAACAAATAATAATCTTACATTTCTTCTAGCAAAGTTGTCCCTTTCTGATCTATAGCAGAGGAAGAAAATATTATTTTGTGTTTTAAATATTTCCGTGCTAGAGATAATGCTTTTTTCTTCCAGTGCCTGGTGAAATTCTTTATGTTGCCAAGTTAAAGATGTAAAATCTAAAAGGTTCAAAAATATGTTGTATTATGAGTTAAAGCTTGAGAGATGAGAACTGAAGGTCAAGGCTTCCTTTTCCGTTATGAAAAATGACCCTAAACAAAAGGAATGGAAAAGTTAACAAGTGCCTCTTGGAACTCATTCCTTGGAATTACATTTATCAAGTAGTTCTGGCTGCCAAATAGTGGCTTAAGAGGTGCATGAGTTGACTTTGAAGTTTTAAGAAAAAAGGCAAGGAATAAAAGGTTTCAGAAGGAAGCACAGATAGAAAATAAATTGTAAGAGTTTTCATATGCATGAACAAAACAATATGTGCTAAAAAAGAGATGAGCAATTCCTGGCCATATGAGACCCTGCAATTCTCTTGTGCAAATCTAAGCAATTCCCATTGTGTTCACCCAATTTTTTGGCAAGAACTTGGAGGCATTGAAGGGCTTCTTTAAAAACTTATATCTATATTTTAAAGTGTGCATAGCTGTTCCTCTCTTCCTGTATTTGGAGGAAAGGATTTTAAAAAGATTTTTTGAAACTGCCTTGTCCACTTTTCTGTTCCATTTGTTTCTACTTATTGAATTCACCTCAAAAACAAAGGCATCCAAAGGCCAGGTGCAACCCTTAAACTGAAAATAGTTACCTTTTCCTGTGTTACAGAGAAATAGTCATCCTGTTGGCTTGTGCTGCCCTAATTAATTGGATGAGGCTAACTATAGAATAGAGGCTATATTTGTTTAAATAAAGGTCATTGAGGATAATTCAATTAGACAAACCCTAGAAAAAATAACTGCTAGATATATATTCTGATTATTATTTTGTAGTCATGTTGTTATCTGTATACTCCCTTCTGTTATTTCCCCATATGAAATCATAGGATTGCAGTCTAAATTCAAAATAATATATAACCCAAAGCTATAGTACTTCTTTTGTTTCACATTGGAAGTTTCTATTGAAGTGGCTAGGTTACTGTTTTTCATGAATATGTTAATAAGTACATACACTATTAGCTAACTTTTAATGATGGCAAGGAAGAATGTTCAGAATAACAAATTCCCCCCCCCCAGATGTACAGTATATTTCTGGGGACAATCTAGTCACGTCCATATAAGAATTTGTTTCAGGGGCAAGAATAAGCCTCACATCGCAGCATATAACACTGAATTGTGAAGGGGCAAATACTTCCAAGTTCTGGAGGATTTGATGCTTTGTCAGAATTCTTTTCATATAGAACTTTTCACATATAGTCAGCCCATACTGAAAGTTATTAGAATTATAGCTTTGTTGACTATCAAAAACAATTTTGGTTTACTAAACCAGATGTAATAACTGTAAACTTGATCATTCTGCTTCCTAAACAAGGATGCATTCCAGTTGGTCACAATAACTGTCCATTGAAAGGTACTGTGTTTGAAATGTTAGTGGTATTGATAATGTGAATTTTAATAGTTAGATGCATAATAGTTCATTTATTTATTAAAAAATTGCTCACTTTTCATTGTTTAAAAACAAATCCCAAGGTGAGATTCATTTACACTTGCAAGTCAAGTGAGAGACATGCATATGTGAATCAGCTACCCATTTCCCTAAATATGCCATTAATCATCAGTAATGTTTTCTCTAATCTGATTTTCTCCAAATATGTTCAGCTCACATAGTGCGTGATTAGGGAAAACTGAAGGCCACTAATGTAGTATGTCAGTGTTTCTCAACTTTGGAAACTTTACGATGTATGTACTTCAATTCCCAGAATTTCCCAACCAGCAACACGAAATTCTGGGAGTTGAAGTCCACACATCATAAAGTTGCCAAGGTTGAAAAGTACTGTAGTATGTTATTCAGCTGGATATATTTTTTTAAAAAAATGAATGGTTTGAATTGTTATTGGTATCTTTATCTGACAACTTAAAAATGTACTAAAATTATTCTCACCCTTTATTCTTCAGTGGAGTTATCTACCATCTCTTAAATTAA